GCTCCCCAGGGGGGATGCTGTTGATGCTGATGATGCGGATGGTGATGATGCTGATGAGGAGGATGCTGATGATGGTGATGCGGGTGATGGTGATGCTGATGATGATGATTATGAGGATGATGGTGCTGGTGATGATGATGGTGCTGATATTGATGCTGGTGATGGTGATGATGATGATGATGATGATGACGATGATGATGCTGATGATGATGATGATGATGATGATGCGGATGGTGATGTTGAACTTGTTGAAGATGATGATGCTGCTGATGATCATGGTGATGATGACGACGATGATGCTGCTGGTGATGATGACGATGCTGCGGGTGCTGATGATGATGCTGATGGTGGTGGTGATGCTGATGATGACTATTAATGATGATGATGCTGATGATGCTGCTGGAAATGATGATGGTGATGATGCGGATGATGATGCAGATGGTGATGCTGAACTTGTTGATTATGTTGATGCTGATGACGAGCATGGTGATGATGACGATGCTGATGATGGTGATGATGCTGATGATGCTGCTGATGATGATGATGGTGGTTGTGATGATGATGCTGATGCTGATGCTGATGATGGTGATGATGCTCAGGCTTGTAATTTATGATGGTGACGCTGAGCTTGATGATGATATTGATACTGGAGATGATCATAGTGATGATGACGATTAGGATGATGGTGATGATGCTGCTGATGATGATGCTGATGATGATGCTGATAATGATGTTGATGATGATGATGATGACGAGTGATGATTATCAGAAGGACGAGGAGGAGGAAGAAGAGAAGGAAAAACATGATGAGGAAATCATAGGAGGTGTTGGAGGAGGAGGCGGAGGAGGAGGAGAGACCAGGATAAGTTGGGGGAGCGGGATGAGCAGGGAGGGGTGGGCAGTAGGAGCGAAGGATGCCCTCCCTTCCCCCTGCCCCCCACCGCCCCGCGGAGCGCGCGTCGCGCTGCCATGAGACTCAGACAGAAGTGGGCCCTGGTCGGGTGGGCCCTGGTGGGGTCAGGAAGAGGGGCGGTCATCCAGAGGAGGCGGCGACATCTGGAAGATTTGGGTGTTCCTGGCCATCATATGATCCCCCCCCATGTCCTCGCCCCCCTGCACCCTGGTGCTTCCCCCGAATATTGGTTTTCACCAATCCTGGGAAAGGGCTCGGAAAACAACAAAAAACCCTCTCACAAGAGATCAGGCCCGATGGTTTTCGGGCCAGAACCCCTGGAACGCACTCGGCTAGGCACAGCTGCTGGCGAGCATTTCGAGGCTGGAAAGCGGCCGAGAACATACGAAACACTTGAAATCCTCAAACCCCCCGTTCATCAGAGCCGAAAACCTCTGCGCCGAAATCCCCTCGAAAGTGCGCCCAGACCCCTCCCAAGATCTATCCTGGCACATGTTTGCGAGCCGCGTCCAGCCGTGGCGACGGGCGCACCTCCAGAAACGCCCCAGACACCTCCGAAACGACGACGACGCCGACGCCGCCGTTGAAACGGTGAAAAGCCATGGAGTTGATGGCGTCAAGAAGGATAACACTCGGCATACACATACACTTTCGGAGGTCCGCGCGGATTTCTCCGATCGGCGCTGGACCCCCTCCGTGGCGCGCTGAACGTAACAGGGCCGGCGCCTGAGGCGCCGCCAGGGGGCCGGCGGCGATCCAAGAAATCCGCGCGGACCTCGGAAAGTTGTGTGCATGACAATTTTCCTCCTTCGGGACAATCTCCGAGATGACGACGCCATCGCCGTCGTCGTCTTTGTGCCGAAGTCGTGGTTGGCCAGCCCCGCCAGTCGGGTCGGATGGAAGGAGGGGCTAGCGCAGGAGATTTGCGAATCAATCCATGTAGCTGGTACTCTCAACGCCTCCCAACGCCAGACGCGGTCGAACACGGGTCTATAGCGGTCGTTCGGGACGACTGGGGCACCCCTGGAACGCTCTCGAGGCGCAGCTGCTTGAAAATATCCCGAGGCTGGAACACCGACGAACACGGACGACACTGCTCGAACACCTCGAGCTGACTGACAACCTCGAACTGGCGAAAAGTATAGAAAACGTTCGAAAACCTCGACAACGTTAGAAAACCACTGAGCACGGACGAACGCTCGAGACTGCTCGAACACCTCAAAACCGTCGCAAACGTTCGAACGCTTCGAAGAAGCCCCGAGCCCCCCTTTGCTCGTCCGACCCGAGCTCGTCCGGCGCAGATCGGCGGCGCGCCCTGGGAGGGAGGGAAGCGAGAGGGGAGGCAGGGAGCTCTTCTCGGCAGGCGTCGGGGCGCTCGGGCCTTCTGGGAGGCCGCCCCCCCTGTCCTCGGAGGAGGCTTAAGATCGGGGAAGCGAAGAATGGCACAAACGTAAAACATCGGAGGTCCGCGCGGATCCAAGAAATCCGCGCGGACCTCCGAGCTTGTAAGTTAATGTTATTCTTCGTTCCCCTACTTCTGGGAGGCCGTCCCTGTCTTCGGAGGAAACTTCGATCGGACACGAACTCACGGGGGGGCGCTACATTTGAGCAGGGACCGACCGTGCCGGCATTCCTATAGGTACAAGCCTTTCACGCAGTGTTCTTAGAGCCCCAGCATGTCCTAATAACAAAAGCAATGTTCGTAGAACATCAGCCCGATGTACTTAAACCAAGCAATCCTAGCCAAACATGTTCTACGAGCATGTCGTGCGAGTCACAACAGGTTCTTAGATATTTTTGGTGGCCCTATCGGCAAACCAGGATGCTTCGCCACTGCTCGATCAATGGGGGGGAGAAGAAAGGTGCCCTTTTCTGGGCCCCAGAGGCCCCCCATCTGGGCCCGAGAGGGCCCCTTTTCGGCAGCCCTCGCTGCCCCCTCACGTATCGCCCCCCCATTACGCGTCCTCCGACTTAGAGAACTTCGCAGAAGGCCGAAAGCCTTCCGAGCCTTGTGAGAAGGTCCACCCCCTCTGCCTTCACCCCCGGGCTCGCCGCTAAGCGGAATCGAATGGAATCGAGTCGGAGGTCTCAAAACGAGCCCTGGTCGGCTATATGCAAGAGTGACCGTAGGCAAAAATGACCCTGATGCTCGGCTTAACGGGGGACGCGGGTTGGCCAAACCCGGGCGCGCAAGCCGCTGCTAACACTTCGCGTGAGGCGATCGGGGGATCCCGCCGAACCCGTACCATAGGTCACTCCAGCGAAATGTCGATATCACGTCTAGTCGAACTTAAGACGATGCCAGGACGACGAACATATCGGGTAAATCACAATCGAGAATCTCTTAGACCCGCCGGCTCTGGAGGATGTCTCGAGCTCCGCGGCCTTCTCAAGGCGCTCCGGAATGGTTTGAGGGCGCTTTGGAACGCTCCGGAACGGATTTGTCCTCGCCCTAGCCACGCCCGAGAGGAGGAGGAGGAGGAGGAGGAGGAGGAGGAGGAGGAGGAGGAGGAGGAGGAGGAGGAGGAGGAGGAGGAGGGGAGGAGGAGGAGGAAGGGGAGGAGGGAGGGGGAGAAGAGGAGGAGGAGGAGCAGGAGCAGGAGCAGGAGGAGGAGCAGGAGCAGGAGGAGAGGAGGGGAGGAGGAGGGAGGGAGGAGAGGAGGAGGAGGAGGAGGAGGAGGAGGAGGAGGAGGAGCGGCCGCGCGGTAGTACGCCGGCGTGATCGTCCCGGAAGCGCTCCTGGCCGGCCGTGTCCCACACCTGTGCGCAGCAAGCGGGCCCCGGCAGGGCGTCGGGCAACGCGCCAGAGAAGGAGGGCGACGGGGGCCCCGTCCTCTTCCTCCTCCTCCTCCTCCTCCTCTTCTCCTCTTTTCTCTTTCTCCTCCTCCTCCTCCTCCTCCTCCTCCTCCTCCCCAGAGGCCTCCTCCTCAGAGTCCTCCTAGATGGGGTCGGAGGACCACGCAGCATCGCCGATGCATCGGCGATGGATCGGTGATGCGGCGCGGTCCTCCGACCCCATCTGGGAGGCCTCTATCAGAGGAGGAAAGATGCTGATACGTGATCTGTCCTTTCCTGTCGTCGTTCCTCCCTCTCCCCCTTCCCCTTGTCGTTCCTCGGCTCCTCGCTCTCCTGCCCGTCGTTTCATGTTTGTCCCTGGCCCGCTCTTCTGTCGGCCCAGCTACTACCGCAAGAAACGCTACATCGCGGTAACGCGCCAAGGGGAAGGCAGCGGGGGCGGCCCTTCTCTCACAAGGCTCTGGAAGCCTTCGGCCTTCTGAGAAGCCTTCTGGGCCTCCTCTGGAGCAGCAGAAGGCTTCTCGGCAGGCCAGAGGGCTTCTGAGAATCCCTGACGCCTTCTGACAAGGCTTGAATCCTCTCACTTCCCCCACAGCGCGCCGCCGATACAAGGAACGAAGGCCCTGTTTGGCCCTGAGGGCGCCTGGGTGAATAAGGAGCGCTGGAGAAGCGAGCAGCCAGGAAGGAGCTGAAGAGCAGCGAACCCCTTGCAAACTCGAACTGTTCCTTATTTCAACGTCTTGACTGTGGTTATCGACGAAGATTGCTCATCGACGCGCCCATGTCACTTGTCGTGACGAACATCACTCGTGACGGCTATTTGTCGCAACAATTGTTTTGTATTGGTCTCCGCGATTCAGTAAGCCGTCTTTGTCTTTGTAATCGTGACAACTTTAATATGCCAACTCTGTGCGTGTCGGCGAGATAAACAAGAATGGGAGGTTCGAGAATCGGGGATCGAAGCCATTTGACGCTTCTGGCCTTCTGGGGCTCCATCGTCGCCACGGCTGGATCCGCAACGACCCTCTGGTGACAACGCGCCCCAAGAGGGGTCCAGAGGTAGCTGCACTCGCTCACGAAGAGGATAATCATGATCAGTGTGTGCATGCAGTCTCGCGCTAGTCACTGTTGACGACCAAATTCAGGATGCCCTATAACAGATTCCCCTTCGATTTTAGAGTACGGTGGCAAACGGTTGCGCTTGTCGACCCCACTTCACACTGAATTGCAACTCCACTGAGCCAAATAACGCTCAATCATTATCTTGAAGATGAGGTCGGCAAACAGACCTGGCGGCTGTTCGCGCTTCGGCGTGTTGAACAGACTCTGGTACTGCAAACCCATCGTCTGACGTCCCGTCCCAAACACGACCAACCAAGTGGCAAACTACTCCTGATCGGCGTCCTCCGAACACCGCTGGCTCTGATCTCATGAGTGAAGTAACAAACTACCCAATACTTTAACGAAGGGAGCCGTCACATGCTTGGAACCACGGTTTGACGTCCTGAGATACATGTCCTTCACTATCTCACTCTCTCTATCTATCCGCCAACTTTTCGTCACGTGCAGCAGCTGTTGTGCTCGTCACCATGTTAGGAAGCTGCGAAACACACGCCTGCGCTTACTAAGCGAAGGCCCGTATCATACGCTCACATCGGGATCCAACGACCCATGTTCAACAAGTGCACTCAGCACTCGCACTAATTACATTACCATGCCTTTCTCCTCCGCTGGCGACTTGGCGCTGTGACTGCGGACCGCTTTCGTGTGATCACCAGGCGTACTCGATGCTTGTCATAACAACTGGAACAGCTAGGTCGCTGGATCTGCGACCCACACGCCGATGGCAACTCAGCCAGACCATCATGTGGCGAGGCAGATAGAGGCCAACGCTCTTGACCACATCAAACTCATGGCCGTTCGTACGCACAGGTGACGAAACTGCTGTTGATGATCAAGGCGGCGATCGCTATGATGCTGATGACGCCATTGATGAGCGAGCCCCTGTCTTGCTTGCTCCTCTGCTCCATCACGCCTCTCTCCATTTGCTCTCCCCTTGCCTCCTTTACGCTCGTGTTCCCTCCAACTTGTGTCCGTCTCGCAACTCAGTTCCATCACTACGTACGACCCCACACCTGATCGGGCCTTATTCTCCTTATTCACGCTGCGCAGCGACACACATACTATTTACCGCGTCTCCCCTTCGTCACCGGCGGCGCAAGTAGCCTCTGCCTTGTCATCTCTGGTCTGCTCATTCCGTCCGCCCCGCACTCTTTCGCCTCCTCAAGCGTCGTCCTCCCTCTCCTCGTACCCTCTCCTGCTCCTCCCACTTCTCGTCCTCATCCTGTTGCTCGTCTACCTTCTCCGTCCCCGCCTGCTCCTCCTTCCCCCCTGCCTCCCCAACATCGTTTGCACTCTCACTCTATCTCCTGTTCTACTGCGGGAACAGTGTGGCGGGCCTGCAACTTCAGCTTGCGACCATTCCGCTCTGGGATCATCTTCAGCTTAAAATCGACACCTCGCCCGAACACCATGTGAGTTTGGCAAGACCGAACGGATACTTGCACAATGCATTGCCACAGAGGACGGGCGCGCTTGGACGTGCTACGAACGAAACATCTGTGCGCCGAAGGCACTCTCTGCAATGTCCCCAATTCTCTTCGAGCCCTGCCCCGAATATTGTCAATGCTCTTTATGCGGCCCAGACCCAATGTTTTGGTCACTCTTGGGCGCTACAAATTTCTCTTGTGAATCTTCGCGTGACTCTCCCTGATACCAAAACATGATGACGCGACCATCAGTTGCGCAACACCCGACATGCTGAGGTCGCAAGGGGTGAAGAAGAAGTCCCCCCCAAACCGCTCTCCAGCTCTGCATGCTGCGGCCGCCAAGCCCCAAGAATATCGAATACCCCGCCTCGCCCGCCATTGCATACCGCGGCCACCAAGGTCCACTGTTCCCGGCTATCCCGCCTCGCTGGGCCCCAAACATCGAAGCGATGGAATCACCCCACCACGTTAGTAGGGCCACGGCGTCACGCTGCCCACAGGCACCTAGACACATCAACAGTATTCACCCCGAACAGGCACCAGTCACAAAATCCAATGACATGCGGCAAACTCTTTTACCAACACCATACAAGAAAATCAGGCACCTCATTAGGCAACACGGGCCGATACCAACACCACACATCTACACAATACACCACAACGCGTACCATACCATTCAGTAACGTGCACCACGCACACATACCTTTACACACAACACAGCAAGCTCCACAAGTGTACCATGCATCAAACATAATCGCCAGAACTGCCAGAACTGACACCAACAACATGCATCGACCACACACATCAATATGCCACCGTGCCCCCTAGCACGCTGAGGCTTGGTAGACCGCCAACTACTGCTTGGTAGGGTTTCCGTAGTCTCTGAGGGACCGCCTCCTCCCGCACTCAGGGACTGCATCCCTCATCCCATGTCGCGGTGAGAAGCTACGGATCCGCGCTGCCCAGGCCACGATCCTGAGGCATAACACTATGGTTCTGCGTTCTGCGTTCCCGAGATGCTAGCCTCCAAGGCCGCCAATGTTGCAGACCATGCCTTCAATGTGGCCCAAGGCGCCAAAGCGGCCCGAGATGGCATCACGGTGGCCCTCACGGCGCCCACAAAGCGGCCCGAGATGGCTCCAAGACGACCCCTAGATGTACCTAAACTTTGTTAATAATTTTCGCCTTGCCACTTGTTCAAGCTTCCGCCAGATCAAGACGGCCCCCGGGGCCTCCAAGTTGGCTCCAAGACGGCGCCCATAGAGGGCTCCAAGACGGTCCAAGAAGGCTCCAACATTGCCCTAACGGTTCCCAGGAGGACCCCAGTGGCCCAGATAGGCTCCCAATGCGGACTCCGAAAACATGAGACGGCCCAAGAGCGCCGTAAGATGGCCCAAGGAGCCCCCAACGGCTCCGAGGTGCCCCAAAGACGCCCCCCAGAGGCACCCGACAAGCACCCAAGAAGCGTTCAGAAGGTGCTCGGCTGGCTCGGCGACGGGTCTTGACGAAAACAACTGGACAAAGAACACGCATCAATAACCGGCATCAACAACACCAATCGACAACATACGGAACGCACGTCCACCAAGAGCTTATATCAACAATATGTCATCACATGCCTTCAACAACATGCAAAGACAAATAACGCTAACAATATGCATGCAACACCTGCATCAAATACACACGGTCAATACCGTCACGCACGGACGACTTCAACGGTGGCGGGATGTGGCAAAGACCACAAGGCCTCCGACCCACAACCTAAGCACAATGATGGGATATGCCAAAGACCACTAGGTCCGTCGCCCGCTTTTGCTTGCAACAGGGTGTTTGGCGTGCCGAATGCTGACCGTTTGAACTCTTCCAGAAAGTTCCTGAGGGCCTCCAGCCAAAACCTGCGGGCCCACCCGAAAACAAATTTCCCGTCGGCATTCCCGCCCAAGATGGCTCCAATATTGTTTCCAAGACGGTCCAACATGGCCTCCAAGACAGCCAAGGCGGCCCCAAAATGGCCCAAGACGAAATATTGCTCCAAGACTGCTCAATATGGCCTCACGGCGGCCCAAAAGGCCACTGAGCCGCCCCCCAAAAGGCCCTCTAGGAGAGCCCGACGAGGCCCAAATCATGTACTTGAATGGTTGGCTTGTCCTCCCTCCCTAGCTCAGCCCCCGTCTGTCCGCCCAGGTCCTCTCCCCAGGGCCCTCAGGGACCTTCCTTTTCGTGGGTGCCTGGCTGGTGCGTCCTCCCTCCCTGCAGGCTCTCTCCCCCGGCGCGCCTCCCCCGGCGGAGGATTTTCCTAGAGGGCCCCTGGGCAGAACATCACCACGCGGCCTCAGGCCGATCCTGCTGCATGAGATGCATCCTCTCTCTGCCGAATCCTCCCCGCCAGGGCCGACATTCCAGGTGTCGAAATCAAGCCCGAGCGAGAGGAGGAGGAGGATGACGGGCCAGGGTCAGCTGCCTTGAGCAGGACATACTTGGCCGAGGCACGACATGTGGTGCCATCACTTGCAGCGACAGTGCCCCGATTCCTGTAATGGGGCGGGAGACCTCGGCGGATGCGTGACAAGGCGCCTCGCCCGCTAGGGCCAGGAGGTCCGCACATCCCGCCGAGGAGATAGCACCGCTTGCTGGTGAAGACACCGCAGCGGAAACAGAACACCGTCGGGGCGCACTCGTCATCCTGCACAAAAGTCGTGCACAGGAGGTGGCCACGCTCGCTCTCGGCGCCATGCAACTTACGTAGCGCCGTGGGAAGACCTCTGCACCCGTCCATGGGTCTGGAATCTCCGATGGACGTCTTGAAACATCCCGAGCACCTGGCGATCGACGGGGTTTCCTCATCCCCAGGGTCCAGAACGATCCAGTCGTGCAACTCGATGGCACGGAGGGTCCGAGCTTTCACCCTAGGGACCGTGGGGTCCCGTTGAAACTGGAGTTTCGGAAAAAGCGGCAAAACTGCACCGAACATGGCCACCAGCTTCCGCAGGAGGGCCACATCCTTGTCTAATTGCTCCAGCTCCTCGCCTGGCAGCGAGGGGTGCAGAGACAAAGCATACTTAGCCAGACGGTCCGCATCCTGATTCCCAAGAACGATTTTGCGTTCCTGGGCGGGAAGCGCGGCTATCACCTCGTCCGACCGATGCGCTGGCGTGTGAGCAAAGGAAACAATGCATCGCTGGCCTGACTCCTGGAGGGCACGCCGCCGAAGTCCAGCGAATACATGGCCTGGGTCCAACTGTACGTACGGGCGCGCATTAGCCAGGTGCACGACTCCCAGACAATCCGAGTGGGCCTCACTGAGGCCTGTAGCCACACAGGCGAGCGTGGCAGCCCCGAGGTGTTCTCCCGACTGGGCCGTCTGGGGAAGGCCAGGCCAAACCGCTCCAAGAAGTCGAACGCGAACCTCATACGGGGTCTCGCTCGACGAGTCGACGAAAACGGCCGCATACGCGGCACGATTCAGGTCGCGAAAAACTAACTGGGTAGCCGAGCCGTCAACAACGATGCGGGTGTTGACAATTCGCTCACAAAACTCTTCGACCGATAGTGGCTCACCTGACGGCCCTTGGAGAAGGGGATCAAGCTCGAGGCAAGGGGGAGGCGCCTCAGGCTGAGCCACCATAAGCCGAGACCAAAACAGCAGTCTTTCAGGCGAGCAGGTGCGTGCCACTAGTATCTCCTCATCTGAGAGATACCCACGACGTGCTGCTTCGACGGTCGGATCCGAGCAAGCAAACTGCCTGTGGACTATGGAATCAGGCTCCCCGCAAAGCGGACACAAACCATCCGAAACGTACCCCGAGGATTTCAGCCGATCCGCAGTCCAACAGGCCCCAGAGAAACACGAAGAAAGCCAATACTTCTGCCGACCATCGAGCTTCTTTGAGCGCAGCATTCGTCTCAAGGGGTCGGGTGAGACGCGGGAATACGTGAACCTCGGAGTTGCCTGGGCCACCCTACGCTCGTGCATCCGCGGAACCCCCTTCTCGAGCAGCTTATTGAAGAGGGCAGGCGAGGTGTGCATCAGGTCAATGACATAACCTCGCTCGTCGTGCCACACTGAGAAACCTACCGCTTTCCAGCCGATCCTGTGCAGACATAAGAGCATCCTATGGATGGAACCATTCGATTTTTTCCATCCCGTGGGTTCCAGATCAAGCTCCTGGCCCTCGACAATATCCCTCCATATCTGTATGTGCTGCCGAGAGGAGAAAGGGGAAGTGGAAGGTGTGGTAATCGATCTCCATAGACTGGTTGCCCACTGGTGGGCTGGTGCCACCGACTGTTTCCACGCAGGGTCGCCGTGCGAAACCAACTTGGCCGTCAAAGAGGCCCCCCGGTGTGCCGGGCTTCTGCCTGCTAACAATACTCGCTGCAACGATTGAAGCTCTGCGTTCGACATGCCTAGCACCACTGCGCCATATCCAGCGGCAGGGCGCACTCCAGCGATATAAATCTTCTGCATTCTCGATTTATCCCGAGGAAGTTTCCGACGATAGTGAGAGATCAGCCTGTCTTTTCCTCATCATCATGAAACGTTCCTTCCTCTTACTCATACCTCCTTTGCAGGCTCTCCGTTGACCTGGGGCCAGGTCCGTGCCCAGCGAGACGGCCGCGCTGGTCGCAGCCGAAGGACAGACAGCACGGAGCCGACGGCACAGACGGTATGCGAGTCGCTGAGACGAGGCGAAAGTGGTGCCCTTGTCCTCAGCCAGGCGGACGTTAAGCCTGTGATCAAAGACACCCTTGAGGCCAATCCCTGCACGTACTAAGTTGGCTACGATCGTATCTTCGTCGCCGTAGGCCGCCACCGTGTCGTCGTCGACGTAAGACCCAAGGGAGACCTCAAGGTGCCTCTGAGACCACATGTCAAACTCAAACATCGCGTAAACCTTGACAAACACGTCATTGAAGATATCCCCAGCTGGAAGCCCAGACTCAGCAAAAAGAGCCAGAGGTGAGTGATTTGCCCCCAGTCTCAGGATCCGTGGAGACCTCCAGAGGTTATAGAGAGTCTTGACGAGCACCATGGGGATCCTCCAGAAGATAGCCCTATCTCGGAGCCATACCATCCCAAATGAAGCCTGCAGTGGCTTTACCGCTCGAAGAAGCAAGCTCCGAGAGGACACTCTGGTTCCAGATGGCCGCCTCCGAGTTTTGCCCCGAACCGAAGGACCAGTAGGGCCGATGGGCCCGCTCCAGGAAATCGTCGCACTGGCGCCGACGAAGGCGTTCCCAGACACGAACGGGGGACCCCAAGAGCAGTGTGGGCCGTAGTCCTCCTTTCGGCTTCTCCAAGAGAGGCATCAGCATCCACAGCAGCTGAGCTGGGAATCAACCTAGGCGTTCGATCGCCTCGTAGAGCATCGCAAGGACCTCCAGCCCAAGGTCACTCAAGCAGGCGAAGTGCTTGGGGTGGTAGCCGTCCAGCGACTGCGAGGTGTGGCGGCTAAAAGAGCGCGATGCCGCTCGTAGCTCCGACGGGCTCGCGCGAGGGAAACAATCTCGATTCGGCATCCAGGCCGAAGGAGGAGAGGTCCTAGCATTCCAGAACTCGCCAAGCTTGGTGGTCCCGGAGGCCAGGAGGCTCTGAGGGTCTGCGGCGAAGATCCCTGGGGAGCGCTCGACAATCGTGGGCTGCCACTTTCTCTGGACCTTCGTGAACCTATGCATGAGCCTCGCGGAACCCGCTAACGACTTAGCTTGCCAAGAGTCCCAAGATTCATGTGAAGCCTTCTCGCCATCGTTGATGGCCTCATCATAGTAGGCCTGGATATCCTCCAAAAACTTGTTGGCTCGATCGCGCCACGACTGCTCAGCAGGACGGTCTGCACTCCAGGCTAGTGCTATCTCGCGCATGGCGCGCAAGGTGGCATCCAACCGCGGGCTCAAACCTTCGCCTGGGCAGGAGTGTTGCAATGCAACCTGCATGTGCTGGCAGGCATGCAGGTCGCAATCCTCGGCGGCGACCGAGTTAAACAGCTCAGTGAAAGTCTGGAAAACCCATTTCCAACTTGCGATGACCTGGAGCGCATCATCCGGGTTCTTCGGGCGATAAAACACAAAAACCCAAGAGGCCTTGATCGTTCTACTCCTCTCTCCAAGCTCCTTCGCCTCCGTGCCTAACACTCGATGCAGCTCCAGTTCGGCGCAGTCAACAAAATGGCCCCAAGCATTCGATAGGACAGCCCAAGCCTCTGTCGCAGCAGCGTGCATACGGGTGGCAATCGCGCGCGCCGCATGCATCAGCGCACCGCTCCACTCCACCGGCGACGGTGACGGTCCAAAAGGCGGATCGAGAGGCAAGCGCTGGTGAGTGCGATAAACAAGTTGCTTCAAAGGTAGCGAATCTCCTCGGAACTCGACTCGAGCAGGGCGATGTGGTTTTATTTCCCAAGACGTGCCCGCCGAGACCCGAGAAACCAGACGAGCGATCCCGGGGCCCATCACGAAATAGGCGATCACGCTGTTCGACGTCGAAGAACGACAAGTAAACGCCGCAGGAGAGAGCATAATCATGCCAAGTTTGCGGGGAAATCCAGAAGCTTCCAGAACCTCTGGACTCAGATTCCAGTCGCCGCCCAAGATCGCATGCGTCGGGTCCGTGATCGACTGACCTATCGACTTCAGCATCCCCAGGTTGGCCTCACTGAGGCCTTCAGCAGATCTCATGTAGACCGAATATAACGACAAAGCTGGCCACCCAGGGAACTCAATCAAAACCTTGACGACGCGGTGGGCACGTATGCACTCATTACCATCAGCAGGCCAACGAAGTCCCACTGCAAGTCGAGCAAAAACTGCCACTCCCGACGAAAGCTTCCCAGACTCAACATTGATACGAGCAGGAAGAATGAGAGCGTGCCAGCCCAACGAACGGGCTGTGGTGGTGGCCTGGCCGACGAACTCCTCACTGATGCCAACCTCTTGGGCGCACAGCACGATGGCGTCTGTCTCGGCCAAACGTCGGCGCAGCGTGCGCCAGCAGGAGCCGTTGAAGGTCTCCAAAAAATACTTGCCATTGTCACGATCTTGCTGAGGCCTAGCTGGCGCCCTCTTCAGAGGGGGAGCTGGAACTCCTGTGGCAGATAGTGGAATCCCCGAGAGCAAAGGTACTGCTAAACCCAGCATAGTGTCACCCACACGTCTGCTTCTTAGCTTTGACCCCCATCTCTCGAAGAAGATTAGTGAACACTTCAGCGTGATCGCCCCCTTCTTTCCGAGCAACCGAAAGAAGGTGTTGTATTTTTCCTCCTCCAAGTCCTCCAAATCCATATCTTCTGGGACTGGTATCTCCTGATGAGGGACCTCCGATCCTGAGGCAGGAGGGGAGGGTGGGGCAGCAGCAGCAGGTGATGCAGCCCCCGTAGCCTCCTGCTGGGCCTTGAACTGGGACCGCAGCAGCTCCTGGAACTGAACGATAATCGGCGAGGCGACCATCTGCTGCACCCATGCTGGGGCCGCAGCGAGGACCTCAGGGGAGAGCTCGAGCGTGGGCGCAATGGGCGGGTCCTGCGACGGCGCCACCTCCTGCACCATGCTGCGCAGCTCCACCTGGTACGCGGCGATCTCAACCTGCACCGCCCTGATCTTCTCACGTTGCTGTTGTAGAAGCTCCTGAGCCTCCTTGACAGGCTTCTCCTGCTCGGCCATCTCATCCTGCATCTTGGCCAACTTCTGCTGTGACCGTGCCAGCTTGTGACCGAGAGTGTTGTGCCTGGTGACAGCCGGCTTGCGCTCCGAGATCGGCTTGCGCAAGGCCTGCAGCTCGGTCTCCATCTGCAGCTGCATCGGGGAGCTGCCGAAGGCCGAGCATTTCTTGAGCACGCCGAGGGCCTCCTCCAGGGCGTCAGCCTTGGAGCGCACGGCTGCGAGCTCGGCGTCACCATCAGCGGCATCATCGCCAGCGCCGTCGGCCGCAGGGGGCTTGCGACTGCCAGGCGCTCCACCTGCTGCGCCACGGGGGCCTCCACCGCCATGAACGGTGAGGGCTGCAACCTGCTTGGTGAGAGCCTCCAGCTGCTTCTCCATCTTCGACTGGGACGGAGGAGGTCCACCAGCCCAAGCACCACGAGGCCGAGCGCCACCATCACGAGGTGCAGGCACGAGCCCCTGCGCCTTGGACTTGGCCGCCGCCTTGGCGCGCTGCACGATCGACTGAGGCGCAGGCCTGCCGCAGACGCAGCGGATGCGAGACGCCCAGTTCTGATTGCGCCCGCAGTCTGGGCATCCCCATGTCGAGAATCGCGGACCAGCGAGCACGTCGTCGACATCACGTCCCATGGGAGGGCGCCCCTCCGAGACGCAAGAGGTGCTCCCACAGGAGCTCACGGAAAGAGTGAGGGTTGAGATCCCTCAAACTGAAAGATAACGAGCCACAGTGACCCGCGAGAGCGACTGCCGCTCTGAAGACTGCTCTCGCAAACCCAGAAAACTCTGGGCCAGAACGGCTCCCCCGGCGGAGGAGGAGGAGGAGGAGGAGGCGGAGTAAGGGGAGGAGGAGGAGGAGGAGGAGGAGGAGGAGGAGGAGGAGGAGGAGGAGGAGGAGGAGGAGGAGGAGGAGGGCCTCCCTCAGGCCCCCCCCTCGTGGTTTGCCCCTGGCCTCCCCCCTCTGGGGCAGCGGCCCCATCGTGAAAGAACCCAAACACGCGTGCCACTCTCTCATGATCATTGTTTCCATGATGCTTGCGTCCTGGATTGTTCTGGCCTCCTGCAGCCGAAGACGGCCCCAGAGGCATTCAAAACAGCTCCAGGACGGCCCAAGAAGCCCCCAGGAGGACTCCAAGAAGGGCCAAGATGATCCCAGGACGGCCCTCGAGGCCCCCAGGACGGCCAGGAAACCTCCAAGGCGACCCTGAAGCGCTCCAACATGACCACGCGAGGTCCCCGAGACGGCCACCGGTGTCAGACGGGCCAAGAGCGCCCTCGGACGGCCTTCAAAAGGCCCCCCAATAGGTCCAAAGAGGCCCCTCAGATACCCCCGAAGAGGCCACCAGGAGGCCTCCAGGAGGCCCCAAGAGAACCCCAGGATGCCCCCCAAGAGGCCTCCTGCTACTCCTCCCTCCCTCCCTCCCCTTCCACTCCCCTTCCACTCCCCTCTATCTCTATCGCTCTTCCTTTGTCTCGGTATATGCTTACGTGTCTCTCTCTCTCTCTCTGTCTCTCTCTCTCTCTCTCTCTCTCTATGTATATATATATATATATTGTTATATATATATATAGATCTCTCTCCCTAGCTCTCTGTCTCTCTATATATCTAGATTATTTTCATGTTCCATCTACGTTTCTCTGTCTCTCTCTCTCTCTCTCTCTCTGTCTTCATACACTGTATCATTGTATATGGTTTCGCTTTCTCTATGTTTGTCTTTGTATCACTCTCTCGCTCTCGCTCTCTCTCTACCTCTACCCCCTCCTTCTCTCACCATGAGTTCTGAATGTATGTAGATATGCATAAATTTATGTGTTTCACGTATGTTTCATGTGTATATCTCTCTCTCTCTCTTTATCTCTTTGTCTCTCTTGTTTCTCTCTCTCTCTCTCTTGTTTTTTCCCCTCTCCCCGAAGCACTCCCTCCGAGGGCTTCCATGGCGGCTGGGGGAACACATAGTCCGCTAGCCTAGCCAAGCGTTGTCCGAACGTTTGGCCACATATGCATTTCGAGAATGACCGAGGCGGCGGTGGTTCGCCGTAGGCGTCTTCGATCCTGGACAACGTGCACACATACACCAACGAATGAAGCAAACCAAAGACCTTTGACCAAATCGTGCATGCCATGGGATTTTTTGACGGTTGCGCCGACATCCACGCCCGCGGGGGTCCTTGCACATTTCTGTGAATTGTATGCCACCGGCATGGCCGCCACCAACAAACTTCATTAGTTTTGCCACAGGGGCCTTCTTCCTTCTTCGATTCAAGCAGAAGCTTTGTAAACCCATGGCGCTCTCCTATGCCGATCCAGAATGCCAGACCAGAACGCGCCTATTGTGAGAACAAAGTTCGAGTCGAACTTGCCGTCGCACAGCCGCACTAGCAGGGACGACTTGCCGACCTCGCAAAATGCCGAGCAACGGTGCATGCGGGCCGCACGGAGTCGACAAGAATCAGCACAAGACGAACGAGAGAAAGTTAAACTCCTCCGCCGCTGGGGTCTTCTGCTTCGAGCAGCCTGAGAACTTCATGACCACTTGGAGCGCAACTGGTCGGACGACTTAGTCAAACTCGGCGGAATGCTCACCTCGCCCATCGTTGCGTGCGCCAATGTTCATACATCTGCCGCCTGCACCGGCGCGCTTCATTAGGTCTTGAGGACCTGCTCAAGTTCTTCCTGATCCCCCTGCTGCCATCTTGTGCCCATAGCGGCGCTGTGTGAGGTAGGAGTGGAATTAGCGACGCTCCGCGTATCCCCACCAGCCCATCCAGAGACTATGCCTGGCAAATTGCCTTGATCGGGAAAGTGTCGCAGCGCGAAGTGTAGCAGAATGCAGCGCAACAAAGATACCCATAAAGAGTCCCAAGGTGGCCCCGAAAGGCTCCAAGAGGGGCCCAACCAACCGGCCCCCAAGAGGCCCGAAACTAGGCCCAAGCTCAGCCACGCGAGGGCATCCACCCCCACGGGGACCTCTTGAAACCCAGAGGCGGCCCCAAGGCCCCCAAAGGAAGAGAGAATCTTTCAAAAGACTTACGCCCCAAAAGCTGGTGGGAATGCAGGGTCATTGCCGGGTTTGGCAGGGTAATTTTCAGGGTCTTAGCAAAAACCAATGAGCCTTTTCGGGAGGTCGTTGCAAGGTCTCTAAGCCAATTCACATCGTGAACTTGTGAGATGTAGATTCTTCTCCCCTTCCTCGTTTTCCCGCCTCTCCTCTCATGCTCATCCTCCTTCACCCCATCCTCCTCATCCTTTTCCCCCTCATCTTTCTCCTCCTCTCCCTCCTCCTCCCTCCTCGTACTCCTCCTTCTCCTCTTCCTACTCCAGTCCGTCATCCGCCAGCCGTCTCCTCAGAGGGATCGGAGGGGTCGAGGGCCGCGGGCCTGTGCCCAAGAGACGCGCCCACGCAACTGCGAGGCCAACTGCTTTTGCCGGTTGGGTGCCTACGGGTTTGTTTGGTGCATTTCGCGCATTTCAATGTCACCATCGTTCGTCGCAGGGTAGTGCGACTGTCTTGCAGGAGCAAAGCGACCCGATATGCCAGGATGACGATGCTGTGCAGCGTCTGCTGCGCGCCTGCCACACGCACTGACCTGCTTGCCTCAACATGAACGCTTCGCTACCAAGCCCTTTGCACAAACTCGAAATGGAGGTGGAGGATGGTACCTTCGGGAGGACGCGGCCCCAACCACCTCAACGTCCACCTCCGCTTCGGCTGGCCGGAAGTCCTCGTCGTCGTCGTCGTCCTCCTCTTCCTCCTCCTCCTCGTCCTCCTCCTCCTCCTCCTCATCCCATTCTAGGAGTTATCGCGTCATGAAGCCTGTAGCTCATTTAGCTGCCCGCCGCTCATGGCGCGCACGTCGATGTTGATTAACAATATCGAACTGTCCCAAAGTGCGTTCGTGGGAAACTGTTAGAACCACCAAGCATCGCCACGCTGCCGTGCACTGCCACGCGTAGCGGGAGGCGGTGAACGCGAGGTCAATCCTCATATGCACCATGCGCTATCGTGAAACGTGCCCTGTTCATACCTGGACAAACATAGAACGATCAATCTCTGTATTCGGTCGTTTTTGCAGCGGGCCATCAGGTGCGCGTACGTGTCTGCGTGCATGCGTGTGCGTGCACGTCATGGGCGGCCGCGTGCGTTCGTGCGTGGAACGTGAGAGCCGTCAGGGCAGAAAGTTGGGGGGGGGCACAAGAAAGTGATCGAACGAGTCAATGGGCCCCGTCCTGCCCCGTCACCCCTCGTGTAGCTTCAAGACAACCGACGGATCGCGTCCAGAATCGTCGAATCGGCCCGCTCCGCTCCGAAGACTCTGGATCTAGTACGTCCGAGAGCACACCATGCCGCCTCCTGGGGCCCCCAAGAACCATATATGGAAATCCACACCGTGGGTCGCCAAGTCGCATCTGCAACACAACAACGGATTTTGATATACTCAACCGATCCGATTGGTCCGAACACATTTGCCGAACCGCTTGGCTTCGGAGCCATATGCGCGCAGTCAGGGTGAGCCACCCTTTGCAGTTGAGCAACACTTGCTCGGAACAGATAGGGAACACACAGTGTAATGTTATGACTTAGCCCTCTTGTAGGTCTTGGTATGCGATGATGGCTGCCAATACGCTGCTGCCTAGCTGCGCATGATATGTATGTATATGTGTATATATACCTGTACGACCACCCTTCGGGTGATAAGAAGGTTGTGGGGGGGGGAGAGGGGGGGAACCAACATCTGACTCAATCGATCTCACTATCGATCTCACTCAACGGGACACCACAAGACACCACGGGACACTTGTCGATCTCACTATCGATCTCACCCAACGGGACACCACGGGCCACCACGGGCCACCACGGGCCACCACGGGACACCGCGGGACACCTCTCGATCTCACTATCGGTCTCACTATCGATCTCACTATCGATCTCACTCAGCGGGACACCATAGGACACCACAGGACACCTCGGGACACCACATCGATCTCACTATCGATCTCACGATCGATCTCACTAGCGAGCTTACTCAACGGGACACCACGGGACACCTTGGGACACCTGTGAATCTCACTACCGATCTCACTATCGATCTCACTGAGCGGGACACCTCGGGGCACCACATCGATCTCAGTATCGATCTCACTATCGATCTCACTCAACGGGACACCACGGGACACCTGTCGATCTCACTATCGATCTCACTCAACGGGACACCACGGGACACCTCGGGGCACCACATCGATCTCAATATCGATTTCACGATCGATCTCACTCAACGAGACACCACGGGACACCACGGGACACTGGCGGGACACCGCGGGCTTCCGGCCGCCTGAGGAGTTACATTTGGTCCAGCCGCGGCCCAGCCACAGGAAGATTTCGGGACACCGGCGGGGCTCCGGCAGGACACCGCGGAGCACTGGCCGCCGGAGTTACATTTGGTCCGGCCGCGGCCCAGCCACAGGAGGATTTCCTCTCGCCCGCCCACGCAGCTTCGCCTCGCCCGCACGCACGCACAGCACGCACGACACGAACCCGAAACCGAAATCGACTTCCCGGTAGAGGGGGTCTCCGTTTCACGTCGGACTCACCCCCCAACCTCCGATATGTATATATATATATATATATATATATAGATTGCATGCCACTGGTATGCGGACTCGTCTACCTTACGAACGAGCCTGAGGACAAACCGAAACATACTGGACAACATGACGGTCGGCATTGTCTGTACACTAATTCAAGTGATATGGTTATTTAGCCCCTCCCCAAGGTATGCCATGCGGGCTCTCATGCCGGGTATGGGGCAGGCTTGCCTGGCTGAGGAACACAACTGCCGCTTACGTCTGGGATTGTGCTCCCTGCATGGTGGTAGGTCTGCTAATGGCGAGAATGATGCATTCGTGGGGTCAGGCCAGTACGTGCGTTTGGAAACCAGTCGCGTACAAAAGGGACAGGACAAGGTCTGGCGGAGTGCCCCGGATGCATGTCAGGGGTTAAAACTTAACCGTTCACAAAACCATAGCGCCCCACCCCCCAGCACACGCCGCTTTGCCGCATCTGGGCTCTCCAGCGAGCAAGCGTGTTGAGAATACCAGTTCGGGCACCACCAATGCAAACTGCGGCGATGGTGGCTGCATGAACTGCATGGCCTGCAGCGGCTGGGGATTCGCCGGGTGGCTGGGCTCGCCACATCGCATTGCGCAGTGTCCGGCTTTCATGCAGGGGACGCGCTACAGTAAGCTTGGGTTCACCTTTCTGGCAATCTCGTGTCGTATCCCGAATTTTCCCGATGCGCTTCGCCCCAACCCCCGAACACGCAGCTTGTCTGCAAGAGACGGAGTGCCAGCCGATGTACACCGGAATACGCATTCCACGCATACATCAATCAATTCCCCGCGATGCTTCGCTGATTCCTGCGCGCAGCCTCAAAGCTCCCCTTATGGGAGGGCGGCCCATATGTTACACGCTGGTCGGAAGAAGTAGGTAGAAACATGAAGCAGTACGGCGGATGAAGTAGATTGGGTTCGGGCCAGCCCAGATTATCACAAAACACAACCGAAACACATCTGGGAATCCAGAAGTGCCCACCTTCAACGACTGGCGTGCAGGGAGAGAGAAACTTCTGCAAAGGGTCGACGGGAAGAACGGGGGAGGACGGACACGGGATAGGAGGTTCACGGCAGGAGGAGGAGGAAGAAAAAGAAGAAGAATAATAATAATACTAATGATAAAAAGAAGAAGACGAATACGAATAAACATAATAAGAATCCTACTACTCTTAATAAGAAGACGAACAATAATAATAATAAGAATAATAATACTTAGAATAATAATAATGATAAAAATAAGCAGAACAATAATACGAAGAAGAAGGATGGGGGATGAGGAGGAAGAATGATGGATGATGATGATGATGATGATGATGAGGAGGAGGAGGATGGAGGAGGAGGAGGATGGGAGGAGGAGAGAGAGGAGGAGGGGATGAGGAGGAGGAGGAGGGGGAGGAGGAGGAGGAGGAGGAGGACGGGGAGGAGGAGGGTCGACGGGAAGAGCGGGGGAGGGCAGAGACGGGATAGGGGTCCACGGCAGGAGCCTCAGGTTCAGAGGCCTGAGATTTTTGCGACAGCTCCACGAGCGAAGCCCCAAGGCACCCTGCGCCTGCGGCAGGCTCGCGTCGTGTCGACTCGCCCCGACCCCGCCGCGGGCGTTTAAGGTTGAACGCCGCCAGTGGCCCAGAAGCGGCCAATATGGAACGATCTGGCGGTCGACAAGCCGCCGATCGTTCCAGCGCGGTGTCAGGAACCAACGCCGGGGTCGACACGGCGGGAACCTGCTGCAAGCGAGAGAGCGAGTCCTCTTAGTAGGTTGCCCAGAAGCCTCAGGAGAGATCACGATTCTGGATGGGCGAACGCGTGATTTATGGGTAGGCTGTTAGGTAGCCTAAGGCGACAGGGCTGCTCCCGAGACAACGGAGGAGATCCCGAGCGACAGCGCGACTCCTGGGAGAGCGTGAGGACATCTAAAGCGTGGGCCGTTGTTGTAGTCTGGAAGCCAACGGCCGAGTTTGAATATTCATGCCATTCTCATCACAAGCAGGGTGCCAGCGTCAAGGTGGATGGCGAAAACACAGATGAATGGGAACCCATGGGGGAGATGAACCATGATGCTTTGCGATTGAATGAAACAAGGGCAACGATAAGAAACATAACATTACGAAAAACAGCGATGCCGGAACACATTGGGCTGACTCCGGGATCTTCCTGTCATAGGGAAGACAAGGCCGGCAGACCGCGGAATCTCCCAGAAGCAGCAACTTCACGAGGTGCTCCTTCGCTGCCAGGCCAACCGTCGCCCCGGCGATGGGCGAATGAAACGCGCGCGCGCGCCCCAATCCTGGCGACACTGTAGAAACATGTATTTTCGTTGCCCTGCCTCGGGAACGGCAGACACGCACAGCATCGGGTAGAGCTTGACGAGACCTGAACAACGGCGCACGAATGCTCCAAATGGTTTCCTGTGCATGAAGTTTGAACCAATGACAAACAGAGGCGATGCCAAAACATAAAAGCACGGATCCGCCACCGTGCCGTACTGGATGGACTGTCATCAGGTCCCTTCGACCCCTGTGAAGTGAACGTTGCCCGTGCTCTTCAAGGGGCCCCATACAAGCGCTCCCGAGTGCCCCCAAGCGCTTTCGCGCGCCCCTAGTTAATCGTTGCCCCTTGTTTTCACGGCATCGGTTCTTTGGCGGCCGCTCGGGATGATCCGCCCCCCCCGCTCCCCCGGAAAGCACTGTTACGCGTTCGATCGTGGACCCTTTGGAATCCCGAAACAATGCGGTGACAGACCGTGCGGTGACCTCGGAACCCAAAGAGACCTCACCGCACGGTCCGTCACCGCACGGTCTTGGGACCCTGGAAGCCACTGTCGCCCGAGACGTCCTCGGAGAACGACCCCGAATCCCCACCGACTCACCGCACGGTGTGGTCACCGCGCCTTTTGGGGGGCCCAGAGACCCTTCGCCACGCGTCTTGGCTTCTGAAAGCCGCCGGAAGACCGCCGAAGACCGCCAGCGAGCGCGCGCCCCGCCGCGGACGCTGGGGCACGACGCGGTCTTCGGCGGTTTTCCGCGGTCATGCGGCGGCCTTTCGGCGGTTTACGGCGGTCGTCGGCGGTTTGCGGCAGTCTTTCGGCGGTCTTCGGCGGTGGTCTTTCGGTGGCCTTCGGCGGCCTTTGGCGGTCATTCGGCGGTCTTCGGCGGTGTGGACGGCGGCCCGACACGGTTTTCAGCGGTCATCGGCGTGAAAGCCGGATGCGTCGCGTTAACAAGGGGTCCACAACCGAACGCGTAAGCTCTGGGTGAGGCGCAACTGCGGAGACGCACCTGGGAGCCGGACAGCCGTCCAGAACCAGCGAAAACGCCCGAAAACCTCGAACCTTGAACCTGCCGTCACGCTGTGCTTGGTCGCCCCAACGGACCGCCCTGCGGCCATCTCGGCGGCCTGTAGTCGGCGGCGTGCCCAAAAGAGAAAAACGCAAGGAGGCTGGCCATCCCAAAAAGGCTTAGAGGGCCTTTGTGGATTCGGAAGAGGCTGAACAAAAACACCGCCGCCTTCCAAAAAGGCCTGTCAGTTTGAACGGCGGCTGCCGTCGCATTGTAAGGGTTAAAAAGTAGAAGGAGTTACGATGGCGTGGTGGCGGTCGAACAAGGAAGATGCCTCTTTCCTGCCCACCGCCGCAAACAATGCGTCGCGCAGGCGACGCAAGCTGATAGGGATGCGCCGCCTTGAGCCAAGGCCTCAGGGGGTAAACAAAGCGATGTGATCGCTCCCCCTCGGACGGCCCCTTAGAACTCGAAGGGGGGATGGGGGGGCCACGCTTGCCCGCTACCGCCTTGGCGCAAAACTCGAAGGGCGCTGCGCCATACAAATGGACCAGTCGCCAGCAGATCCAACCACTGAAACAATGCATCAAACATAAGATCGGCCGCTGAATATTTCAACTACCGACGCAATGCGCAGAAAACGGGGGTGCCTGGAACTGGAGCCACGTTTCCGAGACTCCACCATGTCGGCGCCAAGCTGTCTCGGGCAGAGGCACGCCGGATGGTGCAGCTTGAGCAGGACGGGCCAAAGGCGGTCCTGAAAACCCACATTCTGACCAATGGCGGCTGGTCCTGAACCCGCGCTGGTCGGACTTAACGCGGCAGCGATTCCGCGACAGCGGGGCGCGAAGATCGGCGCGGAAACGCGCCGCCAGCGAGCAGCCGCGGCCCCGTGCGAGCTCGGCGTGTGGCCAGCAAAAGGCCACCCCCCTCAGCGCGCGCAGCGCGGCTGCAAACTCGCAGGCCCGACGGGGCCAGGGCGTGCTGAGATCTCCGGTAACTGGTTAATTTCTAGCTCGCGCGCGCGGGGCCGCACCTGGGGGTCCCGGGACGAAAAGCGCCCCCGCAAGTCCCGGCGAAGTCCTGGCAAGGTCCTGGGCAGGTCCGGGGCGAGCCCCGGCCAGGTCGCGGCGGGCCCCCAAAAGCGCTCCAGGAGCGCTTCAAGTAGCCTCCAAGAAAAATCAGCATGGTCCGAGACGGTCCAAGAGCGATCCAGGATGCCAGATCTTGCCTCCAGACAGCCCGAAGCGCCAGATGCTCCTAGTGGCCTCCAAGAGACCTCTCAAGAGGGCCCACAGAGGCAGACATCAGTGATCTTCCTTGAGTTTCTGATTGTTTTTGGTGTCCTCGCCCTTCGGCTTACTGGGGCTCCAACGCGGCCCGGGTGGCTTTCAAGGCCGCCCCCGGGCGGCGCGCGCGGCCTCCAAGAGGGCCCCGAGACGGCCCAATATGGCCCCAAGACAATCCCAGAAGCCCCCCAGACGGCCCAGGATAACCCCGCAATGGCCCAAAGACGGGCCCAAGAAGGTGATCAGGGACCTGTCCAGCCCTCAGTCCCAAGAGGTCCCCAGGAGGCCCCAATAACCCCTTGAGACGCCCTGGGGCCCCCCAAGAGGCGCCCCCCCGAGCAGCCCCGCGAAGCCCCCAAGAGCCCCCAAGAGGCCCCCACACTGCCCCGAAGCTTCAAAATGCCCCCCCCCCCCCCCCCCCCCCCCCCCCCCGCAGGCCCCTGAGAGGCCAGCCACGAGGCCCCAGCCAACATCCGCGAGGCCTCTGGCCCGCCGCCCGCCGCCGCCGAAAAATGGCAGCCGCCTGGCCGCGCCGCGTTGACAGCGACCCCCCGACGCATGACAGCGGCGAGGCAGTGTGGGCCAGCGGAATGAGCGAAGCGATTAAATAAATGGCCCTCCAAACTTCCCGGGCCAACTGATGCGCGCGAGCAGCCGTGGCGGCCATGTGGAGGCGATGGGGGTTCGCTGCCTCGGCGCGGAACGCGGGCCTCGACCTCGCGCTCGTTGCCCCAATGGCTGGCCATAACTCGCAGAAGTAGGTCGCGGTCGACGTCGCCCTTGACGCGGCCATCAGCGTCTCGTCTTGGGCGCCGCCTCGCTGAACGTCATTCGAGATGCCCGCGGTCGAGAAATTCTCCCATGCCACTGATCCGCCGCAACGGCGCCGTCTCAGCGGGCGCCTCGAAACCCTTGCTGGAAAAGAATTCGCGCGCCGACTCAGCATCAATCGTCGGGGGCGCTCGGGTGCAAGGGCCGCCGCGTTCACGGAGGCGCGTTGCTTCAGACGGGGTCAACAGCCCCTTGATGAGCTTATTCCGCGTTGCCGGTGCGGGGTGACATTCAGCTGGGCCGCGAGCGGCGGCGAGCGTTTCGGCGGCGCGCCTGGGCGTGATTTTTGAGCGATAAAATCTTATGCAGCTGGCGATGCGATATGCGACTCCCCCCATGTGGCGCGCGCGGCGAGCTGCAACCTCGAGAGCCGCAACCCTTGGTCTCGTCGCGCTTCTCGCCAGTGAACTTTCCGCGCCGGGGGTCGCCGCGCTGGTCAACGACGCCATCGGGGGTCGCGGCTTGCAGGTGACCTTCTCCGGTGCTTCCAGCAGCTCGCGAGCGAGGGCGGTCAGACGCCCGTTGCGGCGAAGAAGAGCGTGCGAGAGCTCCCCGACGGCTGACAAACGTGTCGACGACAAGCTTGAGCGCCTTCGCACCTGGGGGGACTTCGACGAGATCGGGGCGAGCAATGGGGCGCCGATGCTCGATGCCTCGCCCTGCGGCCGACGTCGAGAGCCAACTGCCGCAGGGTCCCATTGTCTGGCTTCGACATCTTCGCCATCTCCATCACTGTAACCATTCGGCGGATTCGGGCCGCGCGCGTTGGCACGTAGGAGCGAGATTCGCCATGGGAGCCGTTCCTGTCTAGGTGCTCGACACCTCCTCTTTGCCCCGCACGCGTGCGCATGGCATGCGTTGAAATCTTGTTCCGGCATAGGTAGGCGTTATACGCTGGGTATTCTGCTGCCACAACGCCGAGACCCATCGGGTCGCTGTTCGTCACGCAGGGTCGGCGTCTGCCAGCCTGGAAAATGTTCCGCGGATGTTGAGGAGGGTAGCCAGATGTCAGGACCGTGGGCATGTATCACTTCGGCCCCATCTGCAAGTGGTGGTAGGAGTGGATCAATCAGTTGCGCGGGCGCAAATGCTGGTTTAGATGGTGGCTCTGCGTTCGGATCTGGCATGTCAGCGCGGTCGCATGTGATCTCGCACTCCATGCCGTGCGCGTGCTCGGTGCCGAAGTGTCAGGCACGGTGGGGGTAGCCTCGGCGTCGCCTGGTTTCCGAGTTTGGGGTCGTTTTCCCGCGGGTCAATGGTCTATGGGGCGCTGCTAATCAGAATTATATAGTTTCATCGCATTCCCGAAGGACAGGTAGAGGTGCGGCGAGAAGAGGCCCCTGGCCCAGCGACGCGGGCAGTCTCGAACCAGATGATGAGTGGGATCGCAAATGTGACGCGTCATGAGGTGGCCAACTTTGCCGGTGGGATTCTGACGTCGACCTCTGCGTCTCCCTGGCAATTGTCGCCCATCGCGCCTGGCGGCGGCCTTGGCCGCGGCCTCTCAAGAATTGCGCCTCGTGGGCAGTGTTGTCGAGGACTGTGGCGCGCGGGGGTCTGGTTGCCTTTGCCCGTGGGTCGTCGGCGGCCCCGCCGTCGCCCGTGCTGGCGTTTTTGCAGCTCTGGGCCCCGACGCGCGGAGGGCGGGGGGGGGGTGTCCGGGCCTGAGCCGGCGCCTAATCGATCTGCTTTTGCCAGACGCGCGAGCAGACTTGGCAGGGGGGGGCGGGGGGGCGCGCCCCGGCCAGGGGCCGGAAAATGGCCGCCAAGAGCAGCCGGGATCTGGTCCGCGGGGGGGCAGGGGCTTGCGCCGATCGGCGAAGC